GTCACCTCCTCCAAGACGTCAAAGTTCATCTATTCAAAGAGATCAACGTTCAGTTTTAGAAGACAATCGACACTCACGTAATCGGAGCGATAAGATCTCATGTAGTCGAGAGTCACTTTCTTGTGGTGGCAATGCTTGTAAAAGATGTGGAAAATGTTGTGATTGGACATGGGACAATAGTTCACATGATTGGAACCGTGATTCTGATGCTACTTGCCGTGGTCTTTATACTGTTGATGGTAATAATCATTATGTTCGTGGTCCTGGTGGTGGTCGTGGTGGTGGTGGTATTTTTCCTATTTGCGAATGTTCAAGGCAACCTGTTTTGAAGGGTATGCTTTGCGTAGAAGAGCTGAAAACAGGCAGAAACATTGTAGATTGCATGTATACCTGAAAAACGTTCAAAGAGACTTATCAAGAATTCAGAAGGCTTTTCTGGGCTTTCGTATTCATGCAAAGAGTCTTTGCAAATTGTTCAGAATTGTTTGAAATTTTGAAAACGCTTCTCAAATGCCTTAGCCTGTACGAAATGCTGCTCAGATATCGAAGCGTACACGAAAGCCTATTGAAGTTCCTTATGGTATCTTTGTTGCAGTGTAAGATACCATCATGGAAATCTTGCCTTCACCTATTATTGTAGGCGGCACCTACTCCAAGCGCTAATTATGTTAATTACAGAAAGATTGAACCTAGGATGAAACAAACACACAGTTACAATACACTTGTGCGAGTCGAAAAGCACAATAAAATCGCTGATGGTGAAAGTATCTAGGGCCATACTTTCTCATCATTGAATGCGATTCCCCAGACGTATCATAAAACAACTAATGACTAAGCTACTGATACTCTAAGGAAATCATTAAACACTTTCTTAAGAAATTCAAGAGATACCGGAATAAACGATTCGACTAATTTTTGGCCACGAAAAGGAAGAAGAGTCATCGCCAAAGAGTAAATAGACTTATTTATTCGGTAATTCCATGAGATGTCCAGCAAAAACAAATAGAAAGTATAGGAAATTCCTTTTGTTCTATCAGAGTTTGTAGTGCTTTTTTCAAGGGGGAAAAAGCGGCCCCTGGCTCCTTGGATTCTCGCGGCTCCTCGTGGATTCTGGCGGATTCTATGGATCCTAGTAGAATCAGGCGGATTCTGTGGAACCAAGTAGATTCTGTCGGATTCTGTGG